AAAACTGTCAATGGAGAGATAAGAGAGTCAGCGTGGTTCATGTGAAAGATATGGGTCTTGGAGCTGGAAGCTCTGTTCTGAGCATATAGCTAGGACAGCCAGGTTAGAGACATTCCCAGAACCTCAGTTTCCTTATCTGTGAAATAAAGATGACATCACTCTTGTCTTGGTATCTACTGGCCTGGTCTGAGGACCTGGTAAGATATTGATGTGAAAACCATTTCCACTCCTGATTTGCTACTGCTCCTATTATTACTAATAACAGGAAGTTCATGCATGACATTTTCTGCATTCTTACTAATCCCTTTGCTAAATTAGCAATATCTAGGTATCTGAAAACATGAACAGCTTTCAATATTGATTTATTCCCTGCAACATGCTAATTTATTAAAAAATTTACTCACATACAGATTGAGATCAAGAGTTCTTTGAAATTCCAGATAGGGTGTAAATTGCTGCAAAGGGTCTCTTTAATTGGGAGCAAAACATTTTTGACAGCTTTTGGATTTTAGCTATTGTCACATTCTGCAAATGTTTCTTTTCTTGGTTTAAAAAAAAAGTGCAGTCAAGCTTGAGCAAAAATACCTCAGAGGAGATAAACAACTAAGATTTATCACTCTAAATAATAAAGACCCAGTTTTCCATTTCTTTGATATGTAGGGCAAAATACTTCACTTAGAATCCCATCCTGCACAATTCAGTCAGTCCCCTGCTGGGCCACGACAAAGGTTTAGTAAACTATTCCTGCTCATAATCTCCAGTGGGAGTTTTTCAAATAAAAAGCATCAATAGACATGACTTTAAGGGCAAACAGAATCTTAAAATTAGTCTCAGAAATCTACTTAGATGCAATTTTGTTCGACACCTCATCCTCAACCTGACTTCCTTCAACAATATCTCTTCGTATGGTTGTTGCTTCAATACCCCCAGCAAGGATAAACTCACATGCACAGAGACAGCCTATTTAATCGCTGGCTGATAGAAAAGTTTTCTTACTAATAAACTGAAAATATCTCCTAGAAATTTCTACCTATTAGTCCTGGGTTCCAGTCCTTGAGGTCACCAGAACAAGTCAATTCCTTTTTCTACCAGACAATTCTTTGGAGATATGAAGACTATGAACACAGGGCACCCTATGCCCTGTCATCTCTACTTCAGATTTAAACATATCCAATCCTTTTAGCCACTTTTCCAGGACTTGTGCTGGGGCGCATTAACAAGCTGAGGTTGCAGAAGCTGAGGCTACAGAGGTCTAATGTTAATCAAACACAACTGGAGTAGACTAAGCCAGAGAGAAAACAATGAACTCCACCTTCTTCCTGATTCTCCACTAGGGATCTGACATTTTCCCCACAAAGCCAAGCAGCTTTGGGCTGAAATAATGATTTTACCGTTGTTCTCTTTGTGTCTAGCTTAACAATCAAAAATAGTGTTACAAAATTTGGTGGTAGCTTTCTTTGGGGCTGGGTGTAGCCACCTTTGAGTAAGATGTAGATTTAAGGTAAAAAGAATGGAAACTACCTCTCTGCATTAGTTAAAATCAAGGTAATTGGGACTTTAATTATCTGGGCACAGCCTATTTGATGGGGGATATGGTACATGATAAAATTGCAAAGCCAGAAACTTGGCCCCCAGATAAGATACCCTTCTCCCCTGCCCCTTAGGTTATGCCAGTTGTCATGGTGGTGGACAGGGGTGGAATTGGGAAGAGACTAGAGATGACATCATAACACTGGGGCATATAAATCATTGTGAAAGTCTATCTCAATCAGGCTTGATCTACATTGTTAGCTACCATAAGGGATGGTAAAGAACCAATGATTGTCCCCAAGTTCGTATTACAGAAGCACCAAGTTCTCTACCTCCTGCGTGTTACCTAGGATCCCTTGATCTCTGTTTGTTTGTATTGAGAGGTGCTGGCTCAGCACAGTTTCTTGTCCCCCAACTGCCCTGCTCCTCCTCATCAGAACAGATTTCGATTTGCCTAGATCCATTCCAAACTGTGTGGTTCAAAACTGAGCACAGAGCTCCCAACTGCAGTTTTTCTAGGAAACAGAAAAACCTCCCTGGTTTCTGAAACCATACGTATTTTTACTAAGGCAAGAGAGGCTCCTAATCCTGCTGAACGAAAGTGCTTTGACTCCCAAGGCTTCTGCCCTCATTCTAAACCCCCTTCTCCCCAGGCAGCCCCACCTTTCTCTTTAATGTAGAGGTAAATTGCATTGATTTTTTGGATTCAGGTTAACTCAAGGTTAAATCTCAGTTCTGCTTCCTACATGCTGGGTAGTACTGTAAATATTTTTAAATTTTCTATATATTATGGTGTTTTGACATTTTAAAAAACCTTTCTGGCAGGGGAGTGATGGTTTCTTCTGGGGCTAGCTAATCCTGAGATACAACAAAGGGTCCATCCAGGAGCAGGTCATTGATGCAAACTAACCAACCTAGCATACCTCCTCGCTCCGGCACATGTACTCTAGGAGCAAAATGCCTCTGTCTTCATTATCCCAGGACAGGTGTCAGGCAACTGGGGACCACCCCTGTAACTTAGGGCCAGACAAAATGATTCACACTAGCCAATCATTCACCCTGCCCTGCCTTGGATTTCCAGAGGAACCGCCAATAAAATCTTTGGCCTTAAGGCTCCCTGTCTTTTGTCTCCTGACCACCCTGGTGTCACCTTCCCCTGTGACTTTGTTGTGGGCTATGCTCCTGCCTCTAGGACTTGTGAGTATAATAAAATTATACCTGACTATCTCATCAGAGAATACAAAACATGGGTGAACATAGGAAAGTCACTTGTGCTCAGAGTTAACAGGCATTATGGTTAAGCGAAAGGACTCAGAAGCCAGACTGCCTGGGTTCTAATCCTGCCTCTGATACCATGTACTTTCAGCAAGTCACGTAAACTTTTCTGTCCTTGATGTTTTCAACTGCAAAATGGGGATAATAATACCATCTACTTCATAGGGTTGTTGTGAGGATTGAATGATCCGGTACTTAAAAGGACTTAAACAATGCCAGGCATACAATATGTCCCTGATGAAGGAGCTGTCGTTGTCATCAGCACATAGGAGTGTCGTGAGCATGAAGCTAAATGATGCATGTAAAATGACTAGCATGCCTCTAGTTATAGGAGGTGCTCAACAAATGGGAGTTATTATTACTAGTTATCATCTTTTTATTGTGGTAAAGTGTGTATAAGAGTTACCATTTGAACTATTTTTAAGTGTATAGTTCAGTGGCATTAGAGATACTCATATTTTTATGCAACCATCACCACCATCCATCCCTAGAACATTTTCATCTTCCCAAACTGAAACTCCACACCCATTAATGGTAACTTCCTAGACCCTGGAAATCACCATTCTTTCTCCCCAGACCCTGGAAACCACCATTCTATTAATATTTTCTAGCTCTATGATTTTGACTACTCTAAGGACCTCACATAAGTGGAATCATTAATATTTGTCTTTTTTTTTGAGACAAGAGTCTTGCTTTGTTGCCCAGGCTAGAGTGAGTGCCATGGCGTCAGCCTAGCTCACAGCAAACTCAAACTCCTGGGCTCAAGCAATCCTTCTGCCTCAGCCTCCCGAGTAGCTGGGACTACAGGCATGTGCCACCATGCCCGAGTGAATTTTTCTATATATATGTATTACTTGGCCAATTCATTTCTTTCTATTTATAGTAGAGACTGGGTCTCGCTCTTGCTCAGGCTGGTTTCGAACTCCTGACCTCGAGCAATCCGCCCATCTCGGCCTCCCAGAGTGCTAGGATTACAGGCATGAGCCACCGCGCCCGGCCAATATTTGTCTTTTTGTGTCTGGCTTGTTTCATTCAGTGTAATGTCTTTGAAGTTCATCCATGTTATAGCACATGTCATAATTTTCTTTCACTTTAAGGCTCCACAGTTTCCCATTGTATGTACATGTTACATTTTATTTATCTATTCATCCATCAATGTACACCTGGGTTGCTTCTAACTTTTGGCTATTGAGAATAATGCTGTTATGATCATGAGTGTATAAATACCTATTGTGTTACTAGTTATTTAGGAATAATTTTTCTAAAACTTTTCATTCTTCAAGAAAACCCATTTTGACTTTGAAATTATTATCCTGCTGCCCTTATGGTATCCTCCTAACAGCCAGAAAAAGAAAAAGAAAATAATAATGCAAAATGAGCAAGATCAAGTAACTGTGCAGGTTGAATATTGTTTACAAAGTGCTTGATAAATTATCTTTGTAAAGTTCAAAGGAGGTGATATATATGGAGGTATTTTACAAACTGTAAAATGCTGGATGAATAAAAGGAAGAACACAGCTGCTCGATTCTTGCTTTCTCAGAAAATGGATCATGGGACGTTTTTCTATTTTTTCCTTACCATCAATGAACAGGACCCACAGTGTCAGGGGAGCTCTGGGGACGAGGCTGGGAGTTAATTGTAGCTGTGAGGTTGATGAAAACACAATCCTCTTCCTTTGGTGGGTTCAACAAACATATCAGCCCTTATATTTCCTGGTTGTGCAGTGATAGATTTTTTTTTTAAGATTGAGAACTCTATTTATTCTTTTTGATTACAGCAATTGCAAGGTGCTACAGGTTAAACTCAAGAGAGTCTGGATGCTTTGACCGAGTCAAAACACCTACATGTGTCTCCCTCTAGGACCTGTGTCATTAAAGTCGCCAACACACAAAGAAATTTAACTTAAACTGTCACATTACCCATTGATCTTCAAAGCTCATCAATCTCCCATTAGAGTACCAGGATGGTTGTGACACTTTTATCACAATTACACTATAAGAAACACAGTGCAGTCATACTGTGGCCAAGTCAGCAAAGAGACTTGCTTTGATGGACGATCACAGTTGATCAACTTTGTCAGTTGCTTTATGTGTTTTTATGCGTATTTTATATTCCTGCCCAGAGAGTAGAGGCTTTTAAGGGTACATCTGTCAATGGATTCAATTTCACAATGCCACGTGATTCTTTTACTTACCCCTGTCTTCTCATCAAAGATTTTGATTCCTCCAAAGGAGATGGTTAAAAAGATTTTCTGTTTGTGTTCTCCTTTGGAACGAGCGCCAGCAACAACGCCCTGTTGAAAGGAAGGACATGGTCTTTACTTTAGTGTTTTCATTTAAAAATTCCCTCCGGTCCCAAAGGCACGCCAGATACCATCAACCGACGCCACCAATCATGCACACTCTTTCTACTTCACCCTCCCATGTTTCCCTACACAGTGTGCTCATATCTTCTTGATGTTTTAGCATGATGCTTGCACTAGCTGTTCTAACACTGCATAAATAGATATTTGAACATGCACTCGTTTAACTAACCAAGAGTTATCAGATGCCTCCCTGGCGCCTAGATACCCAGCTCAGAATCAAAGGAACCAAGGTAGACACGATATGGTCCTCATATTAATATCTTTCCTGAATTTTGCACTGGCTATGGTCTTAATCTTTTAACTAAAGGTGAGTCACAAAATATATTCCCCTAAATGTGGTTTTGCTTTTATACTTCTGGAAAAGGTTTTCAGATTGAGATGAATCAGCATTAGAGAGTCGAATGGAAATCAAAGAAAAACTAGTACTACACCGTATGTCTCAATTTTGTTTGGAAAAATGTGATCAACCTAGTTAGATGCTTATTATTTGTAATTTTTATTCAAAAAATTGAATTTTCTACTCTCTTTTTCCCTCCCTCACTGCTCTGCTTTAAGGTAAAGATCTACCAAATGCAATTCCATTTATCAAGACATCTGTTCTTCACTCTCTTAAACTTCTTATAAGCCAAAGATATATATATATATATATATGTTAAGCCAAAGATTATATGTATAATATACATATGAGTCAAGGAGAAGGTAAACTTCACAAGTAAAGATGTTACGTTACTTACTATCCCTGGTGCTTAGGACATCCGTGGAGGGAGGAGGTGCCCAGCAAATAACTGTTAAATGAATGCATTGTACATAGAGTCCCCTCAAAGTTGATATTATTCCAGTTAAGAGAAAAGACACTTGCTTTTTAAGTTAAATTCTGTGGCGGCCAATTACAGGTAAGCACCGGCTTCATCTAGATGTAGGGTACAACTCAGAGGATGAGGACGTCCCATGGGGTCTGCACCCCAGGGCTGCTGCAGACTCTGCATGAGGTGCCTTGAGGCTTCCAACCCCTAGTCACTGGTAGCCCCAACTGATGGCAAGATTAAGCCCAACTCTCAGCAGTTATGACTCTAGGCTTTTAGGGGTAGGAAAGTCTAAAATAATATTGACTTCCTATTTTCGGGAGATAAAAGTAAGTTTGTGCTGCTCTAAGAACAACACGTTCTCAGCATCAGTTGTGGGGACTGACGGGTGTTAGAGAGCAGCAGCTATGAGGAAGGCAGTTTCTCTTAAGGCTGCTGGATCAGCCTCGCTTTGGGTGCTGTGGCATCGGAATATCTGACTTATACTCATGGTTCCGTGTGAGCTCGGACAAATTATTTAACCTGTTAACTCTACTTCCTCAAGTGTAAATACTTTTTTTTTTTTTTTTTTTATGGTTCCGTGTGAGCTCGGACAAATTATTTAACCTGTTAACTCTACTTCCTCAAGTGTAAATACTTTTTTTTTTTTTTTTTTTGCATGGCTGAGTGAATTAAATAAACATTTATGTAAAGTCCCTAGCACAATGCCTGGCACACTGTAGAGATGTAACAAAAATTAATTTCTCCTAGTAAATAAATGAATGTCCATTAAAGGCTGTGGTCCAGTCCCTGTTTTGATACCTACTAATAGGCGACTACTCTATCTTAAGTCGCCCATTCACTCCCCAGCACATCTTACACATAAACAGAATGTTAGAGCCAGAGAGAATCTTAAAAACTAATCTGTCCACGTTTCTCAACTGACAGAGGAGAAAAACAATGTTCTGAAAGGCGACGGACAGTCCTGAGATGGCACAGAGGATTGGTGAAAAATGTGAGACCACAGTTCAGCTCTCTGAGCTCTTGGTGCTGGGGCCGATGATTATTCTTCACAGGTGTCTTCCTTCTGAGGAGCGGAATCTCTTTCCTCACAGCCCTTCCCCAGTGTTCAGCCCCTCAGGAATGCTACATATAAGGTCCCTCCTCCAATGCCTGGCCTATAAATGGTTAGAGAGTGGCTCGCATCCAAAGCAATGTCCTTTGTCTCTTCAACACCGTCCCTCTGCCCCCTACCATTCAATGGTTTCTAGATTCCTCAATGTGCTACTTGCTTTCCCATGACTTCACTGCGGGATATTTTTAAGGAACATGGGCAATGGTGAAAGCATGTCTTTGGAATCCCAGGGATAATTCTTATTTCTGTTCAATGTCATCCTCTCGTATCCCCTTAGCTACAGAGCAAACTCGTTATGCCAAATCACATCTGATTCATTTTCCCTCCTTCACTTTCCTCATGACAATCACCATCTGACATATCACATATATTCCTTTGTTGATTATTTTCCTTTGCCCAACAGAATGGAGGCTCAATTGCACATGCAACTTTTTCTTTCTTTGCTCTATGTGCTTGGTGGTGAGAATGGAGCCCTGCATAAAGCAGGCACTCAGGGGTAAGCAAAGTAACTTTCCTTCCTTCCTTTGGGTAGTAACTGAGTGGACAAGCCAGATAGTGCACCTAGGAAAACTCTGAAATCTGTGTCCTTGGCTGGGTTTGGAGTAAAATAACGTATGTTATTACTATTCCTCCTCACCCCAATCTTCAACCTCAGGCATCCAGGATACACAAAAGATAGAACAATAATTAGGCCCCTACTATGGTCTGAATTTTTCCCCCCAAATTCACATATTGAAATTTGCCAGTGTGACAGTATTAAGAGGTGGGGCTTTTAGGAGACGATTAAGACGTAAGCGCAGACCCTTCTTAAAGGTGATTAGGGCCGTTACAAAAGGCTTGAGAGAGTGGGTGTGTTTCCCCTTCCCCATCCCATTGAGAGGACACAACATTCTGCTCCTCAGGAGGACACAGTGTCAAGGCACTCACCATCTTGGAAGCTGAGTGACCGGGACCTCACCAGACACTGAACCTGCCAGCACCTTGAACCTGGACTTCCCGGCATCCAGATTATGCAAAAACAAATTTCTGTTCTTTATAAATTATCCGGTCTCAGGGACTGTGGTGCAGCAGCACAAATGGACTAAGCCATTCCCCTCCCCCCCCAAAAGGAAAGGACTGGAAGGACTGTGAGAGGGGAGGCGAGGTCCTCCTCTGGCTGTATTCCTTCCTAGGTGAGAACATCCCAGGACAGGTGGGGAGAGGGCTGCACCTTTGCTCAGGAAGAGCAGCTTTACTGCCTCCATCTCCAAGACAGTCCTCACAGTCCCAGCTCACAGAACGCCTGGAACACCACACAGTGACAATTCCTGGCACAAAGTAGTGCTGATTCGATACTAAGGTCCGTTTTGCTTACTGGTTCCAAGCAGATATCTAAGAACTCTGCGGTAGAATACAGCTGTATTAATATAAAACAGGATGGAAAGAGCCAACATGCACGTTCCAGGAGCATTTCTGCTTGGAGTTGCTGCTTCACATGACAAATGAAAGAGAGGACTATCCACAAGGTACTATCTTTGAGGAAATAAAAGACCAATTTTTTCAAACACATTTCTCTTGTGAGACAGGACTCTGAGTCAAGCTCTGAAAAATTGCACTATGTCCAGGCGAGTCTGCCACCAAACAATACACATAGGGGTTCATCTCCTACAGAAGTATTCCTTGCCACCATGTAGAACTAACTGAGGTCCAGGAGACAGCCCTGGTTATAGACTCAGAAGGTGTGGATACAGGTCTTGTTCTGGGCTCCGTGCCTAATATTAGCCACCTGACCTAATGAGTCACCACTGGAAACCTGGAAACCAGCAGTCAAACGTTTTCTCGGGTGCCTGCTATATTCCAAACGTTCTGGTACATGCTATATAATTTAGTCCACACTACAATCCTGGGAAGTAAGAATTATCTCCCTCATTTTACAGATGAGGAAACATAAGGCCAGGGGGATCAAGAGAAACTTCCAGAACCTAAAGAAGCTACTAAGTCATAGAAATGGAGTTCAAACAGAGATCTTTCTGATTCTAAAGTAGTGTTCTTTCTACCTTAACCCTCTCTTCTCTAGGACCCTTTTTGGGAAACAGATTTTAAAAAAATGACCATGCAATCATGCATGCCATACCACAAACATGCCCCAAAGTTCCTGAGAATAGCTAAGTGGAACCACTAGCTTCCACACTTAGTGGTGAAGAGGAGCTCTAAAACGAGAACAGTCACATTTCTTACTCCATGAGCATGCTGGGACACTTAAATGAAGTATGCACACACCACACTTAGCACCATGCTCAGGGAGCTCTCAGGAAGTAACAGTTATCGTTCTCACTAATGCTAATATTGGTATTTTTAAGCAACACCATTTGCTAAGCACTGAGTGGAAGGGCTGACACAGGCGTCCCTAAGGGAGTCACAGGCAGTGTCTCAATGGAGAAACCTGCACACAGAGAAGAGGTCAGGCATGCCGGACAAGATTAACAGGCTGCCCTGTCCCACTCAGGGGCTGCTGTGACAATCAGATAAATGATGTACATGAAAGGGCTTTGAGAATACACGCACAGCATGGCGCATACACATGGTATAGGACCGTGCTCTCCATGGAACTCACAAAGCATATGTGTCAACACAACAGGTTTCAGGCACTAATGCTGAAAACTTTGGAATGCTATTCCAGAAAGCCCCAGGTAATAATCTGGTCTCTGTGCTCAGGCCTGCTAGTCACCATCTGTGTGATCTTAGGGGGAAAAAAAATGCAGTGTAAGTTTCATTTTTCCCAGTTAAAAAAAGGAATTCAAATATCTTTCTTTGTCCTACTTTGTGCCCAGTGACTGATCCTTCAGATCTCCTGAGTTTCCTTCCCTGTGGCTGCCAGCCGGATTCCACCAATGCGAGACACAGACAGGAGATGAGAGGTGGAAGGAGAGAGAGGTCAGGCCATTTCTCCCAACTCCCTTCTCAGCCTTGATCTGCACCTCTGGTAGAAGCCATGTTCTCCCTTGGTGAGGGACGGGGACTTTCTTATCAATCCTGCTCTCCCTGTGTCCTCCTAGGGCGGTAACAGCTTCCCACTGTTGCTATACTCTGGGAGCCTCACCACCCCTTGTTTGGTACCCTACCCTGGCCTCCGCTTTGCAAGGAGCTTCTTCATAAGTGTCTTCATCTGATCTGTCCAGGGTAGATATTGTTTCTTTCAGGGCCCTGCCTGCCATACTCAGCGTTCTGTACTTCTCTCTCCAGGCACTGTCTTTGGGAGACCCCATCCTTTCCAACAACTTCAACCACAACCATCTTGTCTAACATCTCTAAAAGCTGAATACTCTAGAAGTCAATAGATATGTGGCTGCTGGTAGTAACTGACTGGCAGGAGCTTAAAATCTGGTTTGGGAACCCAAATAAATTAAATGCAAATACAAAAAAGAATACAATTAAGTGCTAAGCTATGTCTCGTCAAACACCGAGACTCTGGATATCTGGGTCTAATTTCTGGGCTTATTAGATTAAATAAAGGTTGTGGGACAAATACTTTAACTTTTCTGGAATTCAGATTTCTTATTTACAAAACAGGGAGGCTAATATCTACCTCATAAGATCAAAAGAGGTAATATGTGCAAAAGTACTTTGTTGACTATAAATTAAAATAGGAAGATGTCCACAATGATGATTATGGTACTTTGCTGGTAGGCAATGGACCACTCATGCTCACAATACAAATCCCCTCTCAAACCTCTATAATCCAAGAGAAAACTTTTTAAAGCAAGAAATGAACCAGCTTCAGAGAATCTAGCCAAAAAAAAAAAAAAAAAAAAAAAAATTTTTTTTTTTTTCTCATATAACCTAACATGAGCAAATGGGCCTTTCTGCAAAACTAAGAGGCATCTTATACTTCTCTGTTTCTTATTTTCCTGGGCAGGTGGCCAAATGGAGAATCGATCATTTATGTTTCTGTGTTTCCTAAAGAAAAACTACTGGGAGCTGAAATGTCAACATTCTTCTCAGCAACTTACAAATAATGAAACACAATTGTCTGGGAACCAAGAAACGCTCAACAAGTTCAGCACGTTTGACAAGAGTGTGTTACGGTCGGACAAACTCTCAGGGCTTCGGGGACCTCATGGTTATGAGAGGTGACAGATGGAGCACTTCAAAGCAGGTGCCACATGAGCACACGAGGTTGGCAGCGATTGCCAGCCCTGGTCCACTAGCTTGGACCAATGCTGATTCTGAGTGAGAACATTCTGGGATCAGAGGCCAACTCCTGACTCATAACCACATAGGCCTCAGTGCTTCCATGAAGGCAGCTGGCCCATGAGGTGTCCCGTGACAGATACCTGGTAAAGGAAGATGCACGAGCACCTTTCTCCTCAGCAGACCTGTGGCTCTGGGTGAGGACCAGGTCTTTGTTGGTGAAAGGTTAAGTAATGACATTTTCTTGATGTCTTTTAATTAAGATTTGTCTGGAACAAATCTCCATTTGTCTGACTTCATATTCAGTAAGAAGACACTTCAGCAAGATCAAGATCCTGGCCTTTATCCCCATGATTGGTGAGGCCCCCTTGGGATGACAGGTGTGGCTCTATCTGATTAGAGAGTTTGAAGTTGAACACACAAGGCTCAATCTCTTCTGGGGCTCCCTGTGAACCTGCTTGCTGGTGGACAGGCTGTGCTCTGGTCTGATCTCACATACAAATCACGGGTCCTTCTCTAGGGCAGGGCAGGGAGTAGGGGAACAGGGAGGACCGCAGTTATCCTAGACACCATAAACCAAGTGGAATAGCCGGTCTCACTCAAGGATGCTGCTCTAGCTGTGTATTTGGGTCACATCCTCCAACCCAGCTGTTATCGGTCACAAAGCTGGAATCTGGAATTCTTCCTGTCCCCAACTCCTTCATCTATTTTGAGCATTCAAATTTGAACTTAGGAGATGAAGAAAGCTCATTATTGGATGGCCCTAAAATCTCATAGCATTGCTTAATTATAAAAAAAAAAGAGAGAGAGAGAAAGAGAGAGAAATGAATTAACCTGATCCAAGGGGATTATCTGTGAAATCATGATTTTGATGTCTTTTATGCCTTTTTCTAGTGACCTTATACTAAATACACAGCTATTAAAATAAAGTTTGTTTGTATAACAGCTTAAAAAATAAAAAGAAGTTGTAGGACTCGAATATACAGTGTAGAAAATTAAGGGTTTTTAAAATCATGATATCTAGGAGCCACACTATAGGAAAATTTAGCATCTGATAAACATGTTAAACTGCTAAGAAAACTTGTAAAGTATACACAAAAATAATATTAGTAGCTGTGATTTATTAAGCATCTATGAAAGAAAAGGGGATACAGAAGGTATTTTACAGATTTTATTTCACTTAATACTTTTAAATACTTGGCAAAGCTTGCTTTTTCTTTTCGTTTCTTCCTTTTTTCTTACACTTAAAAATATTTCACTGTCCAAGTTGTGTTCTCATGGACTATTTGAACACATAAAAAAATGAAACCATATAAACTGTAATTCTAATTTTATTACATATATGCATAATTCATATATTATATATATAACACAGATTACACATTTACACAAAAATGTTGACACTGATTTTCTTTGAGAGACTGTAGATTACTTCAATTTTCTTCCTCATACTTTCTATATTTTCCAAATATTTTATAATATATGTGAACTCTATAATCAGAAAAATAATTCAATTATATATCCTTTAAATATTTAAAATATTTGTAGACTTCTTGCTACATTATTCATTTCTCCAATATTTTATAATACTTTTTTTTTTAAAAAAAAGAATATATGGAGATAAGAATCCGGGAACAGCATTATTTCTTGCATATTTTAAAGCCTTTCTAATAAAATAATTTGCTTATTTTATATATTTAAAATTTTTCTAACTTATTTCTTAGATTTTGCAGAGAAAAGCCTTCTTTACAGCCTTTAAAGTCAGAAACCTCTTTGTAATATCTCCAAATCTCAATATCTAGTTACATATTACATTTAAAATATATATTATTTTTCCTTTTACTATAAAATATTAATATTTGGGGTACATTAGTAGAAATTATAAGAATGAATAACATCAGCTTTTACCTTAACATCTTTTACTGCATGGCAAAATATATAAAATCTATTTAAAAATAAAGTGCATAAAACTCATAAAATGTGAGAGGGACTAAACGATTTGATGATTTTGTATTTTTATTTTTGCAGGGGTTGCACAATGAAGACAAAATTGAATAAAATGTAATACACTCAAAAATTATAAAACAGGGCTTAGTAAAATAAAAAAAACCTCCACATACTAGGTACTTACTAAATATTCACTCAATGATTGACATTTCTTCCCAGTGAGTAAATATGATGATTGATCAGCAAACCAAGCACTTTAACAGTAAATGAATAAAGTTATTTACCACAATGATGGCAATGATTCCTCTCGGTCATATCAAACCCAAGAAATTTAAAATAGAATGTTTGCACAGCACCTTGAGTTTCATCATGGAATCCTGACATAACTTGTCTCCCCGAGCCGCGGAAACTTCATCAATCCCGATCAACTTGGCTTTGTACCGGACCCCTTCGCCTTTAAACCTCTTTATCAAAGTGGCTTCACTGCGATCCTGACCTAGAGACAGAAAAAGCAGATTCAGATATACAGTCGTACAGATCGCCTTGGCTCTACGTATCCCCAAGTCCACGATTCGCTGGCTGGTTGCACCTACATTCCGGGAAAGTCAATTCATTGCACACAGGAGAAAAGAAGGGTAATATTCCTAGATGCATATTTTTGCTGAGTCCATTTAAATCCTGAGAGAAATTACTTCTATTTTTTCTGACCCTCAGCTTTCTCAGGTAGGGGAAAACCGTTAAAAATTACCACCCCCATAGAGCATTAAGATAAACAAATCAGATAAGTTGTATAAAGCATCTACTTCAGTGTTTGATGCACAGTAGCTACTTAACAAATGATAATCACCCACCAAGAGTTCACATCTGGAATTGCTGTTAGAATAGTATTAGCACTGAATCTGTGGCATTTCCAACATTTAATAATACTTCAGCCAAGGCACAAGACCCTCCTTACACCCAATTCCATTGGTTGTTTTATAGAGAAACTCCAGAGTAATTCCTTTGTATCAAGTAGTGACCCGAGCATAAGGATCAAGAAATAGTTTTATGATATCTCTTCTGGTAACTCAGGTGTGCAGGGAAATAGGCCTCCACGCTGGTTGGCATTGTGTGTTCATGCCTTGCAACAGGCTCTCTGGATAATTATTGACAACATATTTTGCTAAGACAAGTCACCCAGGAGTTCAAACATATCTACATAAAGCGAAGACCAAGCAAGTGCTTCCTGCAATATGTTTTGTGAACTTTATCCCCACTCTTCACAACAAACAAACCATTTCCATTTTCTAGATAATGAAGAAATGGTTTAGGGGTGGGGAACTTGCGGCCTCAAGGCCACATGTGGCCCTCCGGATCCCCAAGTGTGGCCCTTTGACCGAATGCAAACTTCATAGAACAAATCCTTTTATTAAAAGAATTTGTGCAAAATTTGGATTCGGTCAAAAGGCCACACTCAAGGATCCAGAAGGCCACATATGGACTCAAGTCCACAGGTTCCCCACCCCACACAGAGTTCAGGGCATCACACACGACATGGTGATTAAAACCTGGAGTGCCCTAGCTCTCTGATATTTATCTCCCAGAACATCACTAACTTCAACACCTGATTCCTCCCCCTCCTGCCTTCTCTCATCGGTCAGAAACTTAGAGCTGAGGACTTTAGGGATAATTCCGCCTATTTCCTTCTATCCACATGATGTGCACATGAAGGCCTTTCTATGTTGTGGGGTTGAGAATTATTGGAGGACATGCTTAAAACAGAAAAAAAAAAAAGAACAGCCGTAGCTAACCATCATATGGTACTTTTCTACTGACAAATACAACTTTCATTTCACTCATTTATCCATTCATTCCTTACTGAGCATCTCCTCTGTGCCAGATGCTATTACTCACTGGCAGCAGATGAATGAATCAAAGTCTGTGTCCCAGAAGCTCAAGTCTTTGGTGACTGCAAATAAAAACGCATAGTGCATCATGCCAGGTGTAAGAAGGCTCATGCTTAAGAGTCAGGCATCCTCATGTCATGCCGAATCATGGCTCCCTCCCTCGTAAGTTGAAAAACTGAGCCTCAGTCCCTTACCTGTTGAATGAGAATAAAATATCTACCTTACAGTGTTAGTATGGATAGAAACTTCAAGGAGATGGTATGTGTGAAGCACGTGTTCACACGGTATGAGTACTATAAATGGTAGCTGTCACTGCTAATATCAGCCCAGTAAAAGCAGCAAGTGGAAGAAGCCCTAAGAGGAGGGGAGGCAGAGAGGAGGGATGTCTGTCCAGCCAGGCCTGGACCTGTGGTCTCCAACACCCAGTTGTCTTTTTTGTTCCAACACATTCCTGTTGACTCGTAGTATATTAAAACCTTAGAATAATATTCCATAAAGCAAATATAATACATGGGTGATTAGTCTGAAACTATAATCAATGTAAGAATTAATCCTCAGGGCTATGTAAGGGCAGATATTAGAAACTAGAGCAAAGAACAAAGGGGCCATTTGCCATAATACGCTTTATATCAACACCTAGCTAAGTAACAGGGCCCGTGGGACTACAGGTCACCCTTCCCTGCCTGATTATGCAATATTTGGCAGGGTGACCTATGATTTTTGGGGAAGGTTATCATCCTCTATAGCAAATCCCATCTGTCCTCTTTAACACAGGACAATATTTCAGTCAGTAATAACATGCCTTTCATCATTGAGACATCCCCCAAACTTTAATTACAATAACAATGCCGGTAGCTTTTATCACAAAGCACATCATATGCATCAACTTGTTTAGCCCTGAAAATAATCCTTGAGGTAGGTACTGTCGTTCAGGTTATATAGGCGAGGCTCTAAACTGAAGGTGGGAAAGGCCATGTAACTTGCCAAACTCACTGAGTGGGAACCGAACCCAGAATTGCCTGGCGCCAAAGTCCAAGCTCGCAGTTTGCTTGTGTTCTGTGTTTTCGGGCCTGTTCTCCTAACCACTGCGATTAAGTGCTTCTCATCTCTCTGACTTTTCTATAAAGTCCTATCTTCACCTTGTACCAGAACTCACCTGGCCCAAATCTGTTGATACTCAATACATTGGCAACGTTAAAACTCCACTAGAGGATGGAGAGAGAGCGTGAAAGGGAACAAACACCTTCCAGCTGCCTGTCACATCCACAAAAAGGTCCCTGAGTCAGATACAAAGACAGCTTTAAGAAACATTTGTCAGGGCACAGAACTCTGCTGAGGAGGAAGATTCATAAGAGAAGGCAGAGCCAGATCAGGTGAATAAGGGCAGAGATTAATAAGAAAATATTAGGCCATTTAGAGGAAAGTAGGGAGTCCAATTTAGATTAGGACCTAGGGCCAAGCTAATTTGTATGAAGGGCACTTATGCAGTAGATAATCCAGTTTCTCATTAAATGCTTCACCATTAAAAGGGTAATTTTTCACGAGCACATCTTGAGCAAGGTCTCAGTTATATTAGTTAAGAAATAAATAACAGATATCAGAGCCATAAGGCTGTAATTCTATCAGAGACACATAGAATTTGAGGATGTTAGGGACAGGGTCAGTCTTCATGCATCCTAAGTCATCATGAATCCTAGCCTGTGTTGCTGAGAGAGCCACTGACCCTTTGCTTCAGGATGGACAAGACAAAGGCCAGTGTCTAAGGAAAATCATTCAAGTAGTCACTGTCTATTACTATACCAGTTACTATGCCAAGAGTTTCACATGCAATTTCTCATTTAATCTCACACCTGCTCTTTGAGTTATGCTCCATATGAGCACTACTTTACAGAAGACAACACCAACAGCCAAAGTCAACAGCAGAGCTTGAATTTTGAAATAACAGCTGCTATATGGATATACCATAAAATTCACATACCATAATTTACCCTTTTAATAGATACAATTCAGTGGTTTCAGTATATGCAAAGGCTTGTGTACAACCATCACCACTAACTTCAGAACATTTTCATCACCCCAAAAAGAAGCCCCATATCTGTTAGCTGTCACTCCCTACACCCCTACTCCTTCTGGTACTAAGCAACTACTAATCTCTTTCTGTCTCTTAGATTTGCCTCTTCAAGACATTTTATATAAATGGAATCTTATAATGTATGGTCTTTTGTGAGTGGCTTCTCAGCAACCTGTTCTCAAGTATCATTGATGTTATAGCATGCATCAGTAATGTCTTTTTTTTTTTTTTGCTGAATATTATTTCATTGTGTGGTTATACCACATCAGTTGATGGACATGTAGATTGTTTCTACTTTTGGGCTATTATGAATAATGCGAACATTTGCATACAAGCTTTTGTGTGGATATATGTTTTCAATTCTCTTTATACCTAAGGGAGAAATTTCTGGGTCATAAGAAATTTCTGGGTCATACATTTAGCTTTCTCAGGACCTGTCAAACTGTTATCCCAAAGTGGCTGTACTGTTTTACAATCCCACTAGCCATGTATAAGGGTTCTAGTTTCTCTACCAGATGTTCTTCCCAACATCTGTTATTGTCTTTTTTTCTTTAGTCATCCTAGTGTGTGCTAAGTGACATGTCAGTGCAGTTGTGATTTGTATTTCCCTAAGGAAAAAACAGTGTTGAGCATCTTTTCATGAGCTTATTGTCCATTTGCATATCTTCTTTGGAGAAATGCCTATTGGAATTCCACAGCTTCAATCTGAACCCAGGTCTTGTGCAAAATTTCATGGTTTTAACCATTAGGCTATGGGGACTCCTGGGACTTCCCTCTGCATACTATTATTACATTTAGCCCTTCATACTTTGAGATGTTTCAGATCTCAAACAGCTATTTGAGATGTACTATGGAAGCTATAGTAAACTGGTGGACATCTCATTCCTAAGACAAGTGTTTCACAAGTACACAAGCCCGGATCTTCTCATATCTTATCTCATTTAATCCTGCAAGGTTACTGGAAATTGACATTGTTATTATTCTATGGATGAAGAAACTAAAGCCAGAGAGGGAACTAAAGTTACTTCCAGTTGAGCTGGGAATAGAATCTCACCCTCTCCATCTCCAAGGCCTGAGTTCTCCCACAAGGAGGTAATAAGGCTTACCGATCTAGAACAGAAGCTCTGGGTTCAGACCACCTGGGTTCAACTCCCAGCCCTTTCTTAGTTGTGTACTGTGCATAACCTCCTTTCCATGTCTGCCACAGTGTTCTTAATGGTTAAGTGTAGATAATAATAGGTGCTCCCATACAAGGTTACTGTGAAGGTTAAAGAAAAGACATACAGACAGAATCCAGGACAGTGACTGACAAACAGGAAGTGCTCAGTCAACCCTGGCCGTTGCTATTTGGGTGATCCTTCTTTCAGCTTTTCTGTGACAGTGCCAGTTTATACCTTTTGTCTTTTGCTCTAGTGACCAGCACCCCTCATTAATCTCAAAAGTATCCTAGTTTGGATAATAAACTGTGTGACTGCCCTACTTATATGATCATCATTTGTATACAATACTGCCCTGACAGTTTTCTTTGTGCTAGGCATT